TTTGGAAGACAGTAAATGACTATAACTGTGAAGTTGGAAACCCTGACAGTGTCTTGCTGACCACACAGATTTTACCAAACATTTACAAGGAAGGGGAGGGCAGGACTGAGGGAAGGGAAGGACAGCTTTTCTCTAGCCCCTATGAATCAATTAGATACAACAATGGACCTTCTTGAAACAAAATGTAGAAATCGTCTAACATTTATGGAACACTGGCATCCTGCTGAATGTAGTACAAGCATGAGGTTCTGGGTTCATGAATTTCTCTGCTAATCAGGGAAAACAACCAAGTAGATAACTTAGAGGAGGCTCCTCTTCTTTAACTACCCAATCTTGGGCCAGGGATTTAGCTCAGTGGCATAATTGCCTGCCTGGTAAGGACCAAGTCAAGAATCCAATCTCTAGTACAAAAAAAAAAAATCAAAACAAACAAACAAATCAACTACCCAATCGTCTCTTGATCACAATTCTTTTGTTTAAAAAAATAAGATATTAGGCTACCTGTAGAATACAGAATATTATATAATTCATCCACTTTATAACCAGTTGTATTAAAATCAAATGATACAAAAAATTCTAGTTTCTATGGCAATTTCAAGATTATATAACTTCACAATGCTTTGAAGTCTTATGTAAAATTTAACCAACCAATCCACTTATATATTCCCTAAAGCCAATAATTATTTACAGGTTTCCTTAAAGCCAACAGTTTTTAACTTGTTCCAAATGTGGCCAGTTATATTTCAGAGTGTTTCTTTCCCTTTGTATTTTCCTATTATCACATGTTTGCAGTCCTAATAACTACATGCATCATGGAGAGCTGGTACACATACATGACACATCTTAATTCATTTTATATCCTCTGTTCCTCCTGCTCCATTCTTCTCATGTTCCCTTTCTCAACTGTCAAGGATGTATCTTCCTGTTTCCAATTATCTATTGTTCTTTAATTTATGTAAAGTTTAGTTTTATTATATAAGAAAAACCATGAGATATTTAAATTTCTGTGTCTAATTTATTTCGGTTAACATCATAGTCTCAAAATGGTTCCAATTTCTGACAGGTGACTCAAACATCCTTCTTTATGGCACAGTAGTACTCCACCATGTACAAATGCCACATTTTCTATATCCATTCACTTGTGGATGGATATATAGGCCATTTCTAAGATTTATCTATTATAATTGTGCTCCATAAACATGGTGCATCCATGTATGTCTGTAATAAGCTGTTTTTCTGGGAATATACCCAGAAAAGGAAGAACCTGGTCAAATGGAATTTCTATCTTTAGTTTAGTTTAGTTTAGTTTAGTTTAGTTTAGTTTAGTTTGGTTTTGTAAGCATCTGCATACTAATTTCTAGGAAAATGCTCTGGTATGAAGGTTTCTTTAAAATTTCCTTTCAATTTGTACCTATTACTCTTTCATCCATATTCTGAAGACAAACAGAATCTATCTAATCATTTTTAAATATTTTAAATATCTTTGAATATATATTAAGTCATATGTTTTACAAATTGAACTCTCAGGCTCTTTGCCATTTTTCATATGTCATGATTTCTAACTCTCTTGCAGTGCTGTTATTCTCCTCCAAATGACATCTGGCTGCTGAGGTTTCTCTTAACGTGTGACATCTAAGTAGCATGTTACCAATGCAAAACAAAGAAGACCTGGTCTTTTTAGATTCTCTGTTTTCTCAATGGAACATCCTGTTAAATAGGCCTGTGAGACGGATAATCTATATTTTTATATAACGAATGAGTTATATTCAATTTAAACTTTTTAAATTTTCACAATTCCTAAGCCGTCCCCCCCACAAAACTTTAGAGTCATGATTTCTACAAAGAATTCACACAGAAGATAGATAACTATACTACTAATCTGTTAATTCATCAAAAAGAACAATTTGTGCTTTGTTTGATTGATCATTTTTCCTCAAACCCATATCTTATCATTTAAACAGCTACTTTGAAGGTAAAATGCAATGCATTAACCAGTGTTAATCTCTATTACCTTGTTTTGAAATTCTGTATCATTTTTATTTTTTTGTTTTAAATTTTTATAAAAAGAATTCAGGGGGTAATAATCTAGGACTCTATCTATCTATCTATCTATCTATCTATCTTATCTATCTATCTCTTTTGTCTTTTGGAGACAGAGTCTCTTTATGCAGTTCAGGCTGGCCTTGAGCTCACTTTGTAGCTCAGGCTGGTCTCAAAATTACAAAAATCCTCCTGCCTGAACCTCCCAAATGCTGGGATCACAGGCATGCACCACCACACCCGGCTAGTTTAGGGTTCTCTTTGAACACTTCTTTCACTAAATTGTAGGTAAGAGTACTTCAGAATATAAAAAGGAGTAATGCTGAACCACATCAGAACGAACAATGTAAAGTACATACTGTAAGGTGATTATACAATTTTTCCCACTTTTTGTTTTTTATTGGTACAAATTTGCAGGACATAATGACTACACCCCCTGGGGGGAGGTGGCACATGTACAACACACACCTCCGTTATGTCTTCAGCTTCCCCCAGTCCTTTTCCCTCCCTCAATCTCTTGATCCTTTTCTCTTCTCTCTCCTGTTATTTATCTTTTATTTGATCTTTATTTATAATTTGAGTTTCTCACATAAAAGAAACCTGTAATACTTAATTTGGTATGACAGATTTATTTCATTTAACATTATGATCTTAAGATTCATCATTTTTTCTACAACGATTTAAGTTCATCTTTCTTTATGGCAGACTAGTGCTCCATTGTGTTTAAATATCACTCTTTCTTTATTCATTTATCTGCTGATACACATCTGTGCCACTTCAAAGACTTAGCTACATAAACTGTGCTACTGTAAACATGGATGTGTGATTATAATATGATGTCTTTAGCTCTTTCAGGAAGTTATTTTACTTAAATTTTAAAAATTAGGGCCAGAGATATAGTTCAATGGCACAGCACAAGGTCCTGAGTTCAATTCTTGGTGTCAAAGTGAATAAATAAGATTTTTAAAATTTAAAAAAAAAATTAAAATACTACATTAAAAGAAAATTTACCATTATTCACTTCCAAAATATTCCTTCTGGCTCAAAATATTCCCCTTGCATCAAACATACTACTCCCATCATTCTTGCCACTTTCTGAAGCAGTTCTGGAGTCCTATTTTGTGTGCAGCCTTATCAGGTACGCTCACACCTACAGTGTATGCTGCTGCTGAGTGCCATCCAATGGAAAGGGGGGCTCGTAAAAACATTAGTGTGTCCTCCTTCACCAGACCCGGCACTGTGTGAGTTGTGGCTGTTCTCCAAAGTCAGCATAACCATGCAAGGTAAACTTTTGAATTGATTCAAGACATTGAGATAGATACAACAGTAAAACAAAAGAGAGTCAAGAGAAAGGACTTTCAGAATTAAGTCAGAGAATGGCAAGAATGATAGGATAAATGTGGCTGAAAGTGAGTTGAAGTATTTTGAGGGGATTTGGTGGCAATATTTGTTTTACTATAATAAAACTTTTTAACATGTAAAATATTTGCTGTAGTTTTCAATCACATTGCATATATCATGGCCCCTATAAAACTTGGTAGTGGAAATTCTGAACAAACTATGTAGAAGAAAGAAGGACCTGATTTTAAGATCTAGAAATATTATCTCTTTTTGTGTTCTTAAAACTAAAACTAGGTTAGTGCAAAGGTAAATTAAAATTTTATGTATAAGATAGAATAGCATCTGTCAAGGTAGGTTTCCAGAAAAATCAGTTGTTGAGCTATTTTAACAGATATTAATTGAGAATGAGAAATGTAAAATAAACAAAAATAAAGACTTCTCAAATCCTTACATTTGCAAATATGAATTGCTACTTCTCAGATCTTCCAAAACATCAAAATTATCTCAGAAGATTTTGAGTATGATTCAGCAGATCCTGGTAAGACACATTCTGTGAACAACTGTTGGGTGATTGAAACCACTATCAAAAGAACTGCATTGGCACATATGGGGGATTTGACCATGAACAACCTTTTATTTTTCAGGGAGAAAGTGGGAACAGTTTTTTTAGTGTGGATTTTTTAGGGAATAATATGCTAGATTCAAACTACATTTGACTATTTAGAAAACAAAAGCACCATTAAAATCATTTTAAAACTCTGAGTTGAGAGGGTTTTGTATTTTTATTTAGCTACAAAGTTTATCTAAGAAAAACAACCAACTTTTAGAAACACAATAAACTGTCTAAATATTCAAAATACATCTCCTCAAATTCCACGTAAAAATAAATTCCATAGTAAAGGAAACCGTGGCTGTGAAATTTACCCCAAAAGCAGGAACGCTGTATGACAGCTCCCCACGATGTGCTGAATCCACATGGTACAGGGTCAAGAGCCGGCATTTGGGTCAGTAAGATGCTGAGTTTGGAATGAACCTTCTCTAGGGCTAAAGAGCTACAGTTTCATCCTCATAAACTTCACATTCATTTGTTTTGAAAGTCACTGGAAAATATTATTGGTTCCCTTTACTAAAAATAGACTTTAAAAATTTTGTCCTAAGAAACTGTCAGATTTGGGGAAGCAAATACTATAATTGAAAGCATTTAACAAATACAAACTCAAGCAAAGAACTGAAGTTAGGCAACACATAAAATGTCACAGTACTTTTGCAACAAAATCTGCTCTTCCAAAAACAATACGCAGCTCCAAAGACACACACATATATCCGCTTACAAATATAGCACACACACAATTACTCTGGGAACAGGCAGTTACTATACATTGTGCATTAAATAAATAGTGCAACTCATCTAAATTATTACAGCACAAATAATACTTGCCCTCCCTTTCTCATTAATATTCTCTCAAAGGATGGCTTTCTAAAAAGAAAAAAAATATAAATTCATAAGCATTTCAGAATTCCAAGTAAAAACAGCAACAAATACATATCCGAAATAAAAATATTTAAGTGTAAATATTTAAAACATTTATCAAAGCAATTTTCTTTTCTTTTAAAGATACCTGCAAAATGTGACTTCCCAAATGTGCTTCAAATACTTCAATGGCTAGTGCGCTGGGGCTTCTCCTTCGTTGTGCACCTATAACTTAAAAAAAAGAAAGAAAGAAAGAAAGAAAAGGAAGAAAAATAATTAAGTAGGAGTTCTGATTTTATAATGTCAGCTTAATTTCTGTCCAACTGCACCACTACCCAGTCATGATATCAATGAGATCTGAAAGAAACACTACCCAGTATTAATTTTGATTCTGAGTTGTCAGAACATGAGCACAGTATAGGTTGAATATTAACTTCCAGAAGCATTAAAAAGAAAATTAAAACCCATACCCAGTTTTTAAAATTTCCTTTTGTTTTTCCTAGTATATTATAGAAAAAAAAAAAAAAAAAAAAACCTCAGATATTTCTATTCCTTTAAAACAAATTAGTACATTTTAAAATTAAGGTAGTGGTATTTTTCAAGCATCTACCAACTACTTTCCACCCCAAAGAAATCTAAACTTGTCACATCTTCTAGGCTAAGAATAAATGAATAGGACATTTATTATATTTTCTAATGCAATAACTTTGATGGTTCAATAAAAGTAACAAACAGATAAGAGATTGTCGTTAATGACCATTTGTCCTAGTGAGAAGTGCCCCGCCACAGCTGGATTTCATAGTTGCTGAATATTCACATGTAACTATGCTTTGGGACCCACAAGGAGCACACGGGGACCCTTTGTCAGCAGGTGCCTCTGGTCAGTGACTGCTCCTACCTAAGTCCCCAAACAGGACGGCCCTCCTGCTAACCAAGGGTAATCCTTCTCCTCCTGACCCACCCCACAAACTCTGCCCTCAGGGACCTGCCACTCACAAAACCCCAATAACTCTTAACAAGATTGGTCTTGTAAGGTGTGATATTTGGAGAACCAAAAGTGAAGGTTTCCTCTTTGCAAGTTTTTAAAACGTGAGGTGCCAATTTGCTTTTAAACATAGACTTCTGTTCTGTTTTGTTTTTAACTCCAAGCATCATAAAACTGTTTGCTGCACAGTGATTTATAAAAGATTCATATCTTCTCTAGATTTCCAACAAGTAAAGTCTCCATATCCCCTTGCTTTTCATGAAAAATTTTATTACAAACCTCTTCTTTTTCAAGCCTAGCTGCTACTAATTGAAAATCATATCAAAATTCTCTATTTCTGACTTCTAAATATACTTTCAGCTAGGTGACAAGAAAATTTCAGCAAAAGACTGCTGGGAGAATTTTGTTTCATTTCAGTTACTGAGTCAGTCTGTTGAAGCCATAATTTAATAGGGATTATAATATAAACACACTTATGATTTTTGTGCTGTGCTATGGTACAAAGTTTACCACTACAATGTCTAAAAGGCACTTCAAAATTAACTTGAGTGTTCAGTACCCTTATTTCTGGCAAGAGAAAAATAGACGAAAATTTTTTTCAGTGGAAAACTTATAAAATATAATGGAAAAGTGGTTATTATTAAAGAATATTCCAGTAGGAAGGAATCTAAGAGATCTCTTCCCCAGCATACTTGTTTGCTTAAGAAACAAAATATACAGCTACAGTAAAAATTTTAAAATAGAAAAATCAGGTTTTATCCTGAGATTAATCTTTATTATAAGCATAGACATAGGATTTAAAATATTTTAGTATTCAAATATATTTAAGACAGCACTACTGTGTGTGTGTGTGCGCGCGCGCGCGTGTGCGTTTCTGATTAATTTCCTATTCTAACATGCACATTACCCCCTTCAAAACTCCTTTGGCATTTTTGATAATGCAGCTGTCTTGCTGAATACTGTTTTCAGTTTCTAGAGTGTTAATTGCACATTATGGTAGCTTGGTGTGAATGATCCCACATGAATAAAATCTGCAGCCTCTTTTTTTAAAGATTATGGGGGTGGGTAGCTTTTGGGAGGGAAAGGGGGGATGGAAAGACTTCTAGACTGTCCACTCTCTTTTTGAGGCAGTAATTATGATTCAGAAAGATCACTACTGGTAGTTCATAATTTGTGGGGCACTTCAGGGCTTTCCAATTACAAGGTCTAAAACATTAAAGCACTGTACCTCATTTAAAAAGGTACCAACTTTAGGAAACAAGCTATTCTACAAATGACTGGATCAAGACTGGGCCAAGACAGCAACAGCCACTAACCTATAGGAGACCTTAAATGTGACAGGAAATGTGGGAAACATGTATTTACTACCAGGCCCATGAGGCAAGTTTCGATGACCAAGGATGGCAGCTCAAATACTTTCTAGAAGCCCAAGAAACTGTTGTCTTGAATAACATGCAGGGGTCATTCAAGCCAAGTCTTTGCTGGTCTTTTGTTTCTTGAGTTTTCCCCACTAGGGATCAGACTATTCTCCAAATAAATGTCTTCATCAGACCTTGCACCTGAGAGTCCTACTTGCAGGCATTCTTTGTTCTTTTAAATCTGCTAGAAACAGAAGTATGCATCCCCATACATGCTAGCATAATATACAAGTGTCTTGTAAGTAGTTTCATGCTATTCTCCTCAATGGCATTTTTATGGTTCTGGAACTTCTCCTGATTTATATGTTTTTCACTTATGCAGGTGATGTGGGCTGTAATGACAGTTCCTAATTTTACAACCAACATAAATATGTTAAACAGGAGCCCATTATGCCCCTGGTAGGAGCCCTGCTTTAACACTGGCATTATTGGTAACTGAAGAGATGTTAAATACATTCTTACCTTGCTTTTAACCTATCGTATTTGGCATTTTGAGAATTGAGACACTGATAATTCAGAAACCATGTAAACATAATTACTTTGTTTCTCTGTTTTAATCTTATTGTATTTACAGAGGATCATTAATGCTTAAAGATCTGAAGGGCATTTTGTCTTATGAGAATCATACTTTATAAAGCTTTCATAGGTTTTCTTATTTTCACAATTTACTGATTTTAAACCTGCTTGGTAGCCAGTATATAATACATATGCATTACCACTCAACAATCCTGTTTCATCTCACTTGCTTACATGTTTCATTTTTTGTTCAGTTAAAAGATGACTTTTTCAAAACTTAAAGAATATCAAATTAACCAGTGTGCACACACACACACACACAAACACGCGTATGATACTTCCAGATAAACAAAAGATGTAATCCCTTATCTATGAGGATTATGTTACTATCTGACAGTGAGGAGAGCTACATAATTTGAACAGCTTATATAAAGTGTTAGAAGAAAAAAATCAAACATAATTCAACTGAAAATTATATTCAATATTTGCTCAGTGCTTATTTGATGCTGAAAATGTCTAGCTACTATAACGATTATGGATCCTAACAAACACTTCAAAGGAAAATTTTAACCAATTTAAAACAAAACCAGGCCAAGCAAACAATTATCATCAATAAGCCCCTCATTTCTACTGATGTGTTTTACAAGAGTTAAAGCACCTCAAGTGTTAAGAGACTCTAAACAGAAAAAAAAAATATGAAAAGAGAAAGGTTTGTTTTTTTTATTTTAAGATCAACTAAGGAAATCCTGATTATCTCTTTGAGAAATCCAGAACAACCTGCTGAATCATTAGGACTGCGCATTTGGCCTCCCTCTCAATGAAAAGAATATACAGAGGGATACCACAGTCTGAAAAATCAGCTTTACCCTGCAACAGTATCAGAAACAGTGTTCTAATCTGGAGTCTTCAGCATGACCCCTCAGGGTGGTCGCTGAGAATTAATTCTCTAAAAGACAATCCCTCTTTCAGAAACACACCACACATGCCTGCTGGCTTCCTGACCAGCCTCCTCTCCTCCAGGGATGCACAAACGTGAGGAAGGCTGAGGATTAGCACTCAGTGGGAATTTGACCTATTCAGGCAAAAGGTCAACTTGCCATGGAAGAACCCATTACAAAACAGAAAGAGGACAGCTCAGTGGACACACATATTGAAAGGGGAAAAGACATGAGCCCTCCTTGCCTGTGTCCTGCCTTGCCCTTTTCTCTGACGGCCCTCCCCATCCCCACCCCTCAGCAGCACAGCCCTTGGAGGGAAGTACACCACAGGCCACAGGCCAGCAACAGAGGAACTTACTATTGAAGGAACCCCTTGAAAGATATTCCAAAGTGAAGACAAGTGTGACATCATGAGAGACCATTTCCAGTAGTTTATTTCACTAAGATCCTGAGAGGATCATCTCAGGGAGGCTTTCTCAGCTCCTCCTAATACTCTGGAGAGCAGGAAGTAAATATCACCCTAAAGTTCTACAAGTAAAATCTCAAAGATGGAGTTATCCACTCGGTAAAAACGAAAGCTTTGTACGGGCTCACCTCTGATGGCTGCCCTCTGAATCCTTCATCCAAGGAGCAAGGATGTGTTCCCACACTGAGCTTGGCAGAGGGAGGGCCAAAGGACATGCTTAATGGAATCCCCAGATATCGCTCCCTGGGCTTTAGCACTAGGGCTAGGCAAAGTCAGGGTCTGAGAAAGAATGGAGTATAGAATGCTTAATGAGTCCTTTCATGGCTACAGAAGAAAAGAAAAGGGATTTCTCTTAAAGAATCTCAATTAGCCTCCTTACTCTAGGGTTAAGGAAGCCAGGGAGGGTTTCTCAGGAAGGGGTCTCAGAAGTTTATGAGGTATGTGTTACCGTGTTTCCCATCAAAATCAACATTTCTACGTGTGCATGTAACACGGGACTAAATCTTTCTTCTGAATCGGGCCCCCACATCCCTGCCTATTTCTTATGGGCACAAACTGCATCCTTTCAACACTGAAGCCCTCAGCTGTTTGTTTGTGTGTGCCTTCGACGCAGGGATTTTGGTTTGGAGAAGAGACACAGAGGCAGTGCTAGCTTCCAGCTTAGCCCCTCTAGCAGTGCTGTAATTAAAACTGTGCCACGGAGAACACTGGAACGTCGTTGAAAGCATACAGAGTTTGCATGCAATACATCTCACAAACATCTGAAAAACACATAGGGATTTTTCAATGCATTTTCACCAAGATCAGTATCTGCTCTTTAAAGTGTAAGATAAGAGATAATCAGACAACAGAAACGGGGGTGAGCATTGTTAATTAGGCATGTGATTAAAAATGAATACAAG